GTAGCTGAAAGATTCGTTGAAATTTGTCATGTGATAAGAAGTTAAAATTTTCGTCAAGCAGGTCATTTATATACATGATTCCAGTTCGCTGCCATTGTTTTAAATAGATCATCTGTTTATCTATTAAAATGTTTTTATTGTTCCAGATAATTTCGTTTTGTTTGTGTGTATTGTCTTCTAATATAATGGGTTTGTTTTCTTGCCAGTACTTTAATATTGCGTTGTAGAAGGGTGGTACATTATTCAAATTCAGTAACTTAACATCATATCTACAGTTTAGTAAGAAAGAAAGACCGCCGTGTTCCCCGAAGAAATGAAAAACTATTTTTACTTGTAACAATATTTCTTACTTGTTATACTGTGATTTCATTTGAATAATTGGAATATGCAGAACAAGTTTTTCAGAGGAAAAAAAATGAAAAGAAAAGAATATCGGAAGTTTTGTAAGGAATCGTATTCACTGTCTGTTCGTTGCTAAAAGGAAGATCGATTCTAGTCCTTGTTGTTCGTTTTTTTCCCAGCTCTTGATTACGAGATATGAAGTTTCCATTGACAGAGCGATAGCGAAGAGCTCAAAAGACGGAGAGAAAAGACGAATAAAACGAGCAAACTTTGGTAAATGTAAGTTCAACGCAATCAAAGCACCAGCTGAATAAGAAATTAAGACGTTTTTGCAAATTCAGAAGTAAAACATACTCAATACAAACCTAAGAGCGACTTTAAAACGCCTGTAAGAAATTCTAAATTTTAAATCTTTAAATTTGTTAGTCAATAAAATATGCTAAGGAAATTGAAAACATACCTGTCAGTGAGTTCCTCCTTCTTCTGATCAAATGCTTCATCCTATACTTCGCAAGCAAAATGGCAGCGACCACGACCGGGCTACATTAATAAAGCGACTTTCAGCGAAATGAAGTTTCCTTGTTGGCCATAAAATAAACATCTTATTAGCCGAGCTTGGTCGGTCTGGATGGGAGAATCTTGAACTCGGTCGTGAATGCAGACCTCAGCAATGTTCGGTTCGTTCCGTCTGTACTCACGACCCTCCCATACAGACCGACCAAGCTCTGTTATTGAGATGTCTATGTCATGGCCAAACGATTAATGAGAACTAAATAAATTTATCAATGAACAGTCACTTACAGCCGTTTTCACTTGAGTGTCGAAAAGTAACTGGTTTTGCATTTCTACGCTGCATGATTGGCTTAAACCACTCGCACCACTTTTTCATCCAGTCAGAGAAAGAACCAAAATCAATTGTGACTCGGTCGCACGTGTTTTACCGTGCTTCGCATCAGCTACAACTATTACTTCGAGACTTGATTGACATATGGGATTGAATGTGTCCTTTCGGATTGGTTAAAGAAATTATTTAAATTTTGGTTTTACGACAATCATTTGAAAAAAAACATATACCAAAAACCATATACCAACGCTGTTTACATTAATATTTTGTCTCCGAGGATTTGTTTGTCCAACTTTTGACCCTTTGCAAGGAACGAAGAATTTCTCTGCGATCTTCTCTCAAAAATAAAAACCCTTCCACAGATTACAACTGATTACTTGAATGTCAACACTGCAACTCTCACAGTTCTTCCAAGATCGATGGAAGAGGATTTTGCCACCGAATCGCCAAGGGCAACAGGCTGTTTAAAGGTAAAAAATATATACCATAAGATTTCCTAAATTGTAAAGTGAAAAAAGAAACGATTTTAAGGTCTAATGTAACAGGGACTTATTATAAAGCCACACGAGAAAACTGCAGTCGACTTATCTCCGGCGGCACGCACTGTACTGCTCACGCGAATTCTCATTGGTTAGAAACCTTCCAACGGGCCTTCCATACTTATCTAAAAAAAAGAGTGTCACGATAACTTTAAATAAGTGGCGTGATGTCAATTGACTACAAATATTCCTGGGTCACCGCCTCTGAATCTTACGTAACCAAGCCTGCCTAATTCTAGCAGATCAAGGAGAGGCGTCGAATTGTGCACGAATTAAAGGAAAGAGAGAGAGAGCAATGTCACCACAAGAGATTAAGGTAACCCAAGCAAAAATGCACCACGACACCGTCAATACTTTACACACTCTTTAAAAACCTGAAGAATTTCGGTTCTTGTCTAGCCAGGGGCACCCAACGGATCGTTTAGGTAAATTATCAGTTCGGAAGGCCTTTAATCCCCTCTGATTTTCTTAAGAGAATTGTCACCTCGAACTTTCGTGATATGAGAAATTTAATGTCTGTTGTTTTCGTATTGTTAAAAATGTCGTTTTGGGTACCGAAAAAAGGTCAGCTATCATTCTCGGAAAGGCGATAAGACCTAAGGTTTTCGGGAAATGGACAAAAAAGCCCTAATAAATTCGAGAATACTCAAGTTCCCCTAGAATAACCGGACAGATAATTTTTTTTTAGCGCAACCTAGAATTAACCTACGGAGCTTTAAAAGTGCTCCAGATAGCCTAAAACAGCGTTTAAAAGCATTCGAGAGAAAACGGTCGTTGGGTGCCCCTGTCTAGCGCTGAAAGTTCACACAAGGCAATCGGTTTGAGGTTATTGTTTCGGCCGCCGGATCAAAATCGAATCAACGAGGTCTGTGGCTAAGAGATCACAACATCTAGACTGGACATGAAGGTCCCGCGGATTTTGTGATTCTTTTTAAGTGCGGCTACCTGACAAACTGCGCTAAACTTAAATTTTACATAAATAATGTAGACGAGTTTTGAATGGAACACATGCTCCAGCAGTATCATCTGGTTCTGACCTTCCGAACCGGCGTTCGAGTCACGCGAACAGGGACAAACTTTTCCTTCTGTCGAAATCAACATTGCAACTGAAATACTGTTTTGTCGGTGTCTTCTTTAAACTCCAACTTGCAAATTCTCTGAATGGAATGTTTTTATAAGGCGAGTTGAACCTGCAAATCCAGTACAAAAGATAAGGGAAGATCTATTGATGAGACGATATCAAAATTTTCTTCCGATCAAATTACAAAATCAATACCAAGGGCTAAACTTATCTTGATGCATTACAAAGCCGAGTTTGTTGGGGAAACAAGGACTAGTCGATCACTTTTGAATTTTAAATTTAAAGGATTCATCCACGAGGAGATATCTTATGTTGGCATCGACTAACAAATTTCAGCAGCTTTTTGACTCTATCATGGGAGGCAAAATTACGCTTCAACCCTAACCCTAATCCCGGGGTATATTGCTGCGTTTTACAGTGAAGAGGCTCACAAAACAAGGACGACACTGTCTTCAAGAATACGGTAACAAAATCCTAGATTTCTTTCATAAAGACTGATATTTTTGAGTAAACCAGCGGTACTTCCTCACTTAAACACTGGTTGAGTGCCACTTCACCCTTGCCCCTCAATCAAGACAGCAAAGGGCACTCGGTCTCTGGGCCTAATTTGCCAGTGCCTTCCTCTGGACACGAAGGACTGTTTCCACAAGTGCATTTTTCTTCAAAAAACTCATTACTCGAAGTTAGGGAGGAAAAAACGTTTTGCAAAGCTTTGGTAAATTTTAGAAGTCATTATCAATAAAAATTTCCTCTCTAAATTATTTGCATTCTCTCTCCTGGTTTGAAGATGTCTGAACACGGAGTTCAACCACAATCCCAGAAGAAAAGAAGACCTCTTGGTTTATCTTACCTTATCGACGAGAATCCACCATGGCACGTCTGCTTATTGCTGGGTTTCCAGGTAAGAGCAGTGAATATATTTCCTATTTTTCTTCCCCGTTTTCAGTTGGATTACTCCTTTATTACTATTCAGACAGCTTTTTTTTCTTTTTTTTTTTGGAATCTCTTTCACTGGATTTTTGTCTCTGTGCGTACATCTGTTTGAGTCTGTGGAATAAATATTCGCGGCACGATGAAAGTCCCCAGCTTCCCAAAATCTTTGTAGCATAGACCTGATTTACACCGATCGGTGAACTCGGTCCGCGTGAGGAAGTCTCTGTCGGCTCACGCTCAAAGCGAAAGAAGAAAAAAACCCGAGAAGAACTTAAAGTAGAACATGAACTGGGCTCGGCATTCGGTATTTGGTCACTTTACAACTTTACTTGGCTTTCAATCCACGCTCAAGTTTATATATTTTAGACCTGAAAGAGAGTTGTTACCAAGAGTCTTGTTATAGTTAGATGCGCTGTTACGTTACATGTACAAGGGCTGTGAAATCACTTGGAG